AGTTCCATGATTTTTGAGATTATGGACCACCAAATTGGGCTTGTGCATAGAATTATATCTCATGAAAAAGTTAAATATACGATCATTAATTGATATTGCATATAATATTTTCGGTCTGATTTTTTTGATTACAGGATTGCACTATCACAAATAGATTATGTATATGCGTTTAATATTGACAAATCTGTATCATGTTACATAAATAAAAAAAGTTGTTTTTTTTATCTATGTGCTTTTTTGACTTATTAAATTTCACTGGACCTCACTGGACTTCACTAGACTTCACTGGAGCTTCAATCCAGTGGTAAAAAAAATATGACTGGAAGGGTCTTGTGACAACTTACCACTGAAAACCTAATATCTTCCAGTTTCATCCAGTTAGTTCCAGTAATCCTTCCAGTTCTAGTGAAATTTACTGGACCGGTCTAGAAACAACACTGTAATACAGATGCATTATTTGGCTCAGTTTCTAATGATTTAAATTCCAATTGATATTATATAATTTCATAGAGGTGATAGTAGTATTTTCATAAAGATTTTCAAATTTAATTTGATTGCAAATAAGTTCATAAAGACTTAAATGTTTAAGATTCTTACTAGTACGTAGAAACATTGTGATCAAAGTACATTTAATACCATCTTCTAGTTCATATCCCATATTATAAGGAAACCAATTTATAACTCCCTTATACAAATCATCACTAACGGATGTTATATAACTTGTATATTCAAATAATGGTTTTGGGTGCCTTGAAAGATTAATTTTAAAAGGAATTAATAGAGCTTGCTCATTTGCATTTAACGTTAAAAGAAGTTTTCTTATATCTTTAAAGTGTGTTCTGATTCACTCCATAAAATTGGTATGATTATTCTACACCATTGACGGTTTATAAGCGCACATGAAAACAAACTTTTATGATTACATTTTTCGGAGTTTATTAAATATTGCATAGTAGCATTCATTCGGTAATGATATCATATTGAAAATTACTAAAAATTTATTTTTAAGCACGTACGTATGTATATTGTATTTATATTTCTGACATGTTTAGAAAAAGGCGTGAAACGTTGCTAAAAAGTTTGAAATTGTAAAGAATTATTTTCAGAAATTTAACACTGACCACAACTACACCACGAAAGCGATTGACATAAATTTAGAGAATTTCGAATGTTAAAAAATTTCTGAAATAATTTATATCGTAAAAAATTCGATAATTTTAATTAAATATGTATAGAAAGGAATGCTTTCCCCAAATTTTCTCAAATGATTTTCACATAATCTGCACCCTAAATTGAATGTTTATCTTCATTAAAGACAACAATAAAACTGAGTAAACGCTTTAGATTGTAAAATTAAGAGCTTCACTCAGTGACTCCTGACTAATAAATGTAAAACTAAATTAATATAAATTCTTAGCTTTATATTGTTGAGTTCGTAATGTTGTCCAGAGTTCTAAGTCTGATCACCCTAAACTAAGTTGTACTTGTAATTGTGGTTTTGTGTGACCTTACCTTAACCTTATTTTGACTAAGAACCAGTCCTAACTTTACAATACCCATATATAGTATTGAAGAAAGGTAAGTCTGGACAGAAAGAACAGATTAATATTTACTCATGCATAAATTTGATTAGGGTAAGCAATTAATATTGACTTTAATATTAAAGTTTAAGTTATTATGAATAATTGAATATCGAGGACCATTAGGACCAAAGATTTGTTATTCACATATTCCAAGGAAATTGAAATTTTACAGTATTGTACGACAATGCTGTTAACAACAAAATTAAATTATTTCAAAACCATGGATTTTAGCTTCTTGCAAATAAATTTATAATTTAATTGCTCATATATATATGTCAGTAATTAGCACGTCCCCATTTGAATAAAAGCTATTAATAATACAGTATGTCATTTTATAAAACTTAAATTAGTCATAAATTCTCACATCAAAATAAAGTAGTCAAATATACATGTTAATGTAAATTTTCTAAAACTTTGACTACTATTATTTTAGGTTTGAATATATTTCTTTCAATTTATGTTAAGTTTGATACCGGACTTGATCATATAACGAAATCTTTTTAGTTGATAAGTTTAGAGTGATTTAGCGATAGATATTACACATAATTTGTGCATGATCAACAAGACAGCCAAGATTTTGCAATAAATAATTGCGCAATTCAAATATACATCCAATCGTATAATTTTGACTTATATGATTCTACTGTATCGCTATTATGAACTTAGGTTTTGAGTCATTAAATTTCGTTGTAATGTATTTATTAATATAATTTAATTTATACAGTATTGAATATTTAGTCGTTGCAGTAAATAATTTCGTATAAAATATTAGCTTGCGAATTATTTCGATTAACCAATGACATCTTTGCAAGACACGAGATGATCTACAAAAATCAGCCAATTGCAATGAAAGCCTGCTATGCTGAAGACATATGTCTACTGTTAATACTTGAAAAATCGAGAAATGACGTAGAACAACAAATAAAAGAATTATAAATAAAGAACAACATATAAAAGAATGATAAATAGAAGAATAACAAATAAAAGAATAACAAATAAAAGAATAACAAATAGAAAAGAAAACAAACAATATAATAACAATAAAAAGAAGAATTATTTAATCCTAGGTTTAATTACAACAGGTAATTCTTCGCACATATTTGTAACTCCGGAATTAACCTTCAATGGTGCATTCATATCAACTAACTCAACATCATATTTACTAAATATTAATACGATTAGTGAAAGTAACTCGATCATCGCTATCCTTTTTCCAGGACAAATATGTAACCCTCCACCAAATGTTATCAATGAAATTTTATGAATTTCTTTGACAGTGTCGCTTTGTTTATAAAACCGATCAGGGTTAAAACTTTCAGGATCAGACCAATAATCTTTATGAGAATGGATTCCATTTACATTTATATGGAACGTTGTTCCTGCATTCCATTGATACCCGGCTATTTCGCAAGATTGACTAGTATGTCTCGACATTTGATTTGTTTGCGGCCATATACGACTAGTTTCACTAATTATCGCATCGCAATATTTAAGTTTTAAAAGGTCTTCATATTTTAGATGAAAAGAGGTATTTGGAGGGAATATTGAGTCTATTTCTTCGAGCATTTTTTGCTTTACTTGAGGATGAC